TGATTATAATATTTCTGCTTTTTTACTGTGTAAAGGAATAATGTTTTTAAAAGTCAAATATTGTGTACTAATGGAACAAAGTAATGTCTGAATCTCAAATATAGCATTCCCATTTTGATACATAATATCTTTTGTGGGGAGCAGCAATCAAGATGCTCAACAGTCTGCTCTTGTACTATTCAGCTGCATTGGTTAGTGACAGTGTACATGAGGCTGTATGTTTGGTGGTGATATAGAAAAAGCATTAAACAGAATTCAGCAACATTCATGATAAAAAGTCTCAGTGAACTAGGAATAAAAAGGGAACTCCTTCAGCTAAGTATGGGGCATCTATGAAAAACCTATGGCTAACATCATATTTAGTGGTAGAAGACTGAATGCTTTCTTTCTAATATCAGGAATAAGACAAGGATGGCTGCCGGGTGTGGTGGCTCTCACCTATAATCCTAACACTCTGGGAAGCCGAGGAAGGTGGATTGCTTGAACTCAGAAGTTGGAGACCAGCCTGAGCGAGAGTGAAACCTTGTCTCTAAAAAAAATAGCCAGGTATTGTGGTAGGTGCCTGTAGTTCTAGCTACTTGGGAGGCTGAGGCAAGAAGATTTTGTGAGTCCAGGAGTTTGAGGTTGCTGTGAGTTAAGATGACACCATTGTATTCTAGCCAGTGCAGCAAAGTAAGACTCTGTCTCAAAGAAAACAAAAAACACCCCAGAATTGCATTAATGTATATAGTTATCATTTAATAAAAAAAACAAGACAAGCAAGGAAAAAAAAAGACAAAAATTGGGAAGGTAGAAATAAAACTGGTCCTCATTCTTAGATGACATATTTGTTTACAAAGAAGACATTAAGGAATTAACAGCAATAAAACTACTATAATAATGACTGTAATAAATTATCAGGATACAGTATAAATTTTAGAAAACTTTCATTTCTGTATATTAACAGCAATGGAAAATAATGAGTTTAAAAGACAATTTTGTTACCATAAAATCAAAAAGCATACTTAGAGACCAGGCGCTGTGGCTCACATCTGTGATCCAGCACCTGGGAGGCCAAGGCAAATGGATTACCTGAGCTTATGGGTTCCAGACCAACCTGAGCCAAGAGTAAGACTCTGTCTCTAAAAATAGCTGAGAACTGTGGCGGATGCTTATAGTCCCAGCTACTTGGGAGGCTGAGGCAAGAGAATCACTTGAGCCCAAGAGTTTGAGGTTGCTGTGAGCTGTGACGCGATAGCACTCTACTCAGGGTGACAGATTGGGACTCTCTTTCCAAAAAACCCAAAACAAAACAAAAAAGCATATTTAGGAATAAATTAACAAAAAATGTACAAAATCCTTTGCAATGAAAAACAACATATTGCCAAGAGAAAGCTTTATTAAAAGACCTAAGTAAATGTATAGATATACCGTATTCATGATTTGGAAAACAAATTGTTATCAGTTCTGTTCCAAATTGATCCATAGATTTAAGGCATTCCTCATCAAAGGCTTTTCCTAAATGACAAGTTAACGCTAAATTTATTTTGGTATGCAGAGGATATAGAATAGCCATATTAATATTGAAAAAGGATGTCGACG